ACAGGGCTATCGAACGCCGTTTGAATTTTCCGGATCCGTCCAGTAGTTTCGGAGATACGGGGGGGGGGGGGAATGTCCCCCCACCGCGCGGAAGGTGGCCGGGAGGCCCACCGCCTGCCGGGTTAATTGCGCGCAAACAGTTCCAGGACGAGCCAGGGAAACAGGAAAGAGACAAAGGTTACGCAATCAGGGATTCAGAACAACAAAATATCTATCAATGATCGTGGACTTCATTATAAAAAACATTTCTCTGAATGTACACAATGAATGTCGGTAAAAGTAAAAATCATCGTTCCAGTGAAGCGAAAATTTCGCTAGGTACGACGAAGCACTGCGACCGTGCGAGGCTGGTACGTTTTACCGTGCCCTAGGCGCCTTCTTTCACGGAGGTTGGTTCGCTTTGCCATGCACCCGACTGGCCCAGTGCCCACCGACTGTCGCCCGATGGGGTTCCGGGACGCACCGGCACTGAGCGCTGAGGGGGGCGGACGAGGTCGGTGTGTAGGACAGTCGGTAGCGCGCGGCCGGCTGAAGGGACAGACCGACAGCACGCTGCACCGCCGCGCCGGCCGGCAACGGTGAGTGCAGCATCAGGAGCCGAGCTAAGCGGTCCGACTCGCAGGGCAAGACTGCTATCCACCAGCGTAGCACGTACCGATTAACACTAATCTGAGGCACTGGACACGATATTGACGTCAGGCCTCCTGTACCGGTTTAAGGGTCTTGAGAAGACAGCGCCTATGCATTTAACCGTAATGAGCTTAACTTGCTAATATCAGTACAACAAAGGCAATATATAGTTTGCTAGAACAAAGGGAAGCCATTTTAACTTAGGTAGGATATCAATGATATTTTGTTTAGTAAATGATGCAAAAGCAATTGCCCTCATTATTCAGCTAATGGCGGCTTTGATCGACCAAATGGTAAAAGGTAAGCCCATATAAACTATACGCTAAAATCTGAAGCCACCATCTGTAAGTCGGAGCAGATCCTCTGGATTTCTGCATGGCTTGCATGCATTAAAGGAAGGACTTCGGCACGCGAGCTGCGGAAGCCACAATATGCCGGTGCTAAATGCCGAGATCCACCTCGAAAGCAGCGGCAGAGCATAGCATCGACCCGACGTGACGCTGATCGAATGGAGCGTACGGAGTGCGGTGCGCCACTAACTGCACCCTGCAGAAGGGAGCCCGGGCTGCACACTGGGCCATATGTTTAGGACGAATATTCGAAACACCAGGTACTTTTTATTTATGATAGCTTTCGAAAGCACTGCGACTTTCTTCCTCAGCCTAGACAGTTAGACACACATAGAATCAAATCAAAATTGACAATTCATCCTAGTCGTTCGTTTCGTGATATTAAACATCGTTTGGATACGCGAAAAAATTGACTCCATATGGGTCAAAACTCTTGAAAATGCTCCCCTGATAACTCCTGAAAACCATCGATAACACCCTTTACAGCAGAGTTATTGAGTGTGTTCTAGGGTAACTTTGAGCCTTCCTCATTTTGCGAAAGAGTTTTCAAGAGTTCTTAATGGATGGCGAAATGACTCCATGTGTGACACCCCATAACTCTGTGACGCAACTCTCCATTACTCCCGAAAAACCTTTCCCGAACGTTCCGACAGGAGTAAAAGGGGAGTTACGAAGCGGTTTTAGCATACGTCGCGAGGCTGCCGGTGGCCGCCATCTTTTGCGCGTAGTATACAGCACGTTGTGCGGGGCGGCGGGCGAGGTGTTAGTGAAGAGCGTGTTGACTTAGACGGACCTGACCTCTACAGTGACGGATAATTGGACCTTACTTTGGATTTAAAGGTAAGCTTAGCTATATTTCTCATCATGCTTTTATAGTGCAAAGTGTTATAATGCTGTGATGAGAACATATGGTAACCCCATGTTCTTGATTGGCTGGAATGGTCTTTGTAAGGGTAATCGATTTGTTTCGTTCCTGAGTGAGATAAAGATCGGAAAAAGCATGCTCTGAGTTTCTAGGAATTGGCAAATATCATACATAATTTCCCTCGACATGTCAGGTCGCGTGTGTCTCGTCTCGTTCGCCTACCTCTCAGTCTCCTCCCTCATTTTTCCTTCCATCTTTCCTCGCTTCCTTCCTCACTCCCTCCTTCCCCTCCCCTCTCTCTCCCTTTCTTTCTCCCTCTCTCCCTCCCTCCCTCCCTTCCTTCCTTCCTTCCTTCCTTCCTTCCTTCCTTCCTTCCTTCCTTCCTTCCTTCCTTCCTTCCTTCCTTCCTTCCTTCCTTCCTTCCTTCCTTCCTTCCCTCCTTCCTTCCTTCCTTCCTTCATCCCTCCCCTCCTTCCCTCCCTCCCTCCTTCATTATTTCCCTCCTTCTCTTTTTTCTTTCTCCTCTATTTCCTCCCACGCAATGTTAAGTGTACCTATAATTTCATGGTTATTAACATTTTGCAGGGGATGAGCTGGAGAGCCTGCATCGCATCCCGCAAGACACGTCGGAAGCCAACGGAGGCCCGCAAAATATCCATCCCACCATCGTGAAAGGAGAGCCGGACGAAGAAGACGCAGTATTCGTCGAGGCCCAGGAGGTGGTAGCGGCACCACCAGACCAAGCATTCCTGCTGTGGTAGGCCGCCTTTTGGATCTTTAACGTCAGAACTCGCGACCGTGTATAGCATATGGAGTGAGATCCCCGGAGAGCGTGCCGCGGCGGAATGTCGAAAGCGTTTGTCAATTTTTTTAGCCTCCCACCGCCCCGCACTATGAATACACATTTCTTGAAATATATTTTTTAATCTGTGCTTCGGTACACGAGCTTTGGGTGGTTACGCTATTCGTCCAATATTTATTTTCGAGGGGGAAGGGCTGGAGTGGAGTGATGGGAAGTTTGGGTGAGTTTGATTGGGAGTAACTAGAGGTATACCATGAAGCTGTAAACGGAGTTTTGGGGAATAATGGAATGGAGTAATTGGGAGTAATTATGAGGCAGTAAGAGAGTCATTGAGAGTAATGGAAGGGAGTTTCAGGGAGTATGTTGTTTGTTTTGATAGGGTAAAGGAGAGAAATGAAGAGTTTTCTTAAACGGTAGGGAGAGTTGCAGAGAGTTTCTCGAGGGAAGTTTTGGGGTGTAATGGAGAGTTTTGGAGGCGGTGTAATGAGGAGTACCACCTGGGAGTTTTTGGGTGTCGTTTTGGTGAACTCCCCCTGGGGGTGTCATGCGGAGTCAGGATTTTTCTCAGTGATATAAATGGCGCACATTCAAATTTCCAAAATTATGTGGTCACATGCTTAAATTAAGTCTTCGCTTCTTGGATGAAGAGTAAAAATATCAGGTATTATCACAGACGTCAGCAACGATAAAAAAGTTTCTAAGCACGTCATTGAAACCGGTCACTCCATCCTATGGGAAAATGTCAAAATTCTGGCGTATGAAACAGACTGGAGGAAACGTAAGATTAAAGAAGGGATATTCATAGAAAGAGCGAAGGGTAGAGTTTTAAATACAAAACCCGCTGTACCGCTGGCAAATGTGTACCGTGTGCTGAGGTAGTGAAAAAGTGCAGGGTGTCTCTATGCTGGGACCTGCGGAATTGTAATATGTATACTTGTATGCATGTTGTTTCGCCGTTTTGACGATTTGCTTATGATGTTGAAGCGCATGTGATAGGCATGTGTCTTTTTTATCGTTGCTGACGTCTGTGATATTACCTGATATTTTTACTCTTCATCCAAGAAGCGAAGACTTAATCTAAGCATGTGACCACATAATTTTGGAAATTTGAATGTGCGCCATTTATACGTATCCAAACGATGTTTAACCCGCGCACCGACGGGGGGGGGGCGGATATCCGCCCCCCCTGAGGTTTTTCGCGAATAGCGGGAAAACCGCGGCGCGTAGCGCCGCGAAATTTGGTATGACTATTCCCTTATCAATTTTACACATGGTGTGCAAGTTTGAACCTCCTACCTTTCAAGGTCAGGTCACCAGGTCACTTTGAATGACCCAACCTCAAGTCACTTTTTTGCAACTTTGTCACCGTGCCAGAGCTACAGTAGATGTCGGAGGCCTTTGAAAGTCGCAGGATGTTATTAGGTCATTAGTAGCTACAATTTGTATATCACGGAATTTTGATATCGGTGACCTAAGGTCAGGTCAATTTCGCGACCTCCCCATTATAAGTCAATGGGGGAAAAATCAACTCCCTGTTTTTACCACTAAAACGGGTCGGAATGGCCCCATATACCATACATGACTTCATATACGATCAACCTTCACTACCTTGAGGTCTGTTTTGCTGTTGGGCAGCTGTGAGGTCATGTGACGTCATCAAAGGTCACCAAAGGTTTTTGGCCAATAACTCCGTACAGGAACAAGATACAGACGCGTGGATGGTCTCATTGTGTTCAGCTCGTCAAGACGCATCGAATGATATACATGATGACCTCGAGGTCACGTGACCTGAGGTCAACCTTTGACCTTGACCTTTCGAGGTCAACATATATATCATTCGATGCGGATTGACGAGAGGATTACGATGATGCCCTTAGTTTGTTCCTATCTTGACTAATTCGAAAGTTATTCGAGAAAAACTCTCTCCATATTTAGCGCCGCCATTTTGACTTTTTCGACCCCTGTGACGTCATCTTTGACCTGACCTGAAAATGACCTTAGTAAAAATTGTAGATCTTGACCGTGCGTATCCGATGCCGTTTACCGCTTGTCGCTATCTTGCTTCGTTCTCGAGATCTCAGGGGGGGGCGGTCATCCGCCCCCCCCCCCCCCCCCGTCGGTACTAAGTTGGCGCAGACCCCCGTCGGTGCGCGGGTTAATATCACGAAACGAACGACTAGGATGAATTGTCAATTTTGATTTGATTCTATGTGTGTCGAACTGTCTAGGCTGAGGAAGAAAGCCGCAGTGCTTTCGAAAGCTACCATAAATAAAAAGTACCTGGTGTTTCGAATATTCGTCCTAAACATGATTCCTTCCCAGGTGAATAACAATATTTATCATTACACTGGGCCATACCCCTTCAGATGAGAGCAGAGGATGACTCCGCCAAATCCGAAGGCGCTAACCCTGTCGCGTCACGATGAGTGGTTTATACCAGCGAAAGGTGCGGCGGTGGGACCAGGTGCGGCAGCGCAGTGGAGGCGGCAGGGTTGCGCCGGCCGCTGGACCCTGGAAGATGTAGTGTTATGGCCGTGGTGCAGGGTCACCGTATCCACTGGGGTGCGAGTTTAGAGAGCGGTTTTGGTGTGGAGGTCTCGTCTGTGTCTGGTCAACGACCGTACAGACTACAGATGGGCTGGCCAAAGTGCATGTGTCCGGGCTGCTGCCGCATCTACCACGTCACAGAACCCAGCGAGGGTGAGCGGGAGGCTTACACAGTGGGGCCCAGCGGCCAGCGTGAGGCTTACACAACAGAAGCCAGCGGCCAGCAGGTGGTGTACACAACGGATCACAACGACCAGCGAGAAGTTCCAAAGGAGGTCAGTGCTCAGTTGAAAAAGGTGGCAACATGAAAAATAGCTTTGTTTTGGTGGAACAATTGTTTTCGGAGGCGGAAGCCATGAGCAACAGATGAAATTGATTTATGCTCAGAATGGAGCACATGACTAGCCGATTGGTCAAACATTTGTAGGTAAAAATAAAAGCGGAGAACTAGACTGAAATGCTTGAACGCGTAAATTGTGTCAGTTGAAACGGGATTTTTTTTTTGCCCAAAATAGGCATACAATAAACCAAAATTTAAGAAATCCCATGCCTTATTGGCGTGAGGTCCAGCTATTCACCCAAACATTCGAGATAAATTGATATAGGGGAAGACGGGGGAACAGAGCAACAGGACACCGCGATTGTTTGGCCATCACCCACGGCGGTAACTATACAGAGTGCAGGAGCGGGTCCTGGTCCTGGGTGACTCGAGTCGAGCCGGGGAGTCAGTTGGCGGCGGCTCATCCGGGCAGTCACGCTGACTCGCCTCCGGCTATAATACGCATTCCGGCAGCCGCGGCCACCTCCCAGTCGGTGACAGACGATATAAACCGCGGTGATGGCGGCCGAACGCGTCTTTTCTGGGCCGCCAGGTGATTATTACGCAGCAGTCCGGTAGGCTGACAGTCCGGGTCGTCCTCCGCCAGGTGATTATTACGCAGCAGTCCGGTAGGCTGACAGTCCGGGTCGTCCTCCGTCCAACAAACTGCCCAGAGGCTATCAGTCAGACTCAAAAGGCCGGCATTCATAAATCAAAGTACCGATCGACAAGTGACGGACTGTTCATCGTGTACCTGTATTATCTATCGACGACCGACAATCACCAGTCATCACGAAACTCAGCCATCTCTTTCCCAAGGTTTCCAGGGTTCTACCTATGGTTCTCCCGAGGCTTCCTTATCACTTCTGGCAGACCGCTTACTGCCTTATATCCCAGTTGATCATCAGTGATCAATGTGTTTTCAGGAGAAGCCGATGTCTCGGCTGATTGTGTTCCTGGGCTCCACACGCGATGGCAGGAACGGCACCCGCGTCGCCACACATCTGGTCAATCTGCTCAAGGAGAGGAAACACGCGGTCACCGTGTTTGGTGAGCCTCACGCCAGACCTTGAGAGCTGACGGCAGCACTCGGACTGGAGATCTGGCCTGACCACATGCTGCGCCGTTTGGTGGCGTGAACTGCACGGGGATTAGGTGCGACCGCGGAGATTGTCAGCTCAGGAGGTGCAGAAACATCGAGATTACAAACATTATCAAGTGTCGAGCTGTTATTCTATTGAAAACAACCAGAAATGTCACGACTGTTCCTGTTTCGTTCAATTACAGACAACAAAGAAACATTGAATGTTACCTAAGGGTTAAGCTTTTTCCAAGAAACTATGCCATGTTCAGTTAATTAGGTAGACGTGCTCAATGGTCGACATGCATTTCATATCAAATCTGAGAGCAGTGTTCCTGTCGTTTTTCGCATTCTTCGCCGTACCTGGTTGACCAGAGGTTGACCCTGATGTCCACCGCTGAAGGTAATGTCAGACCCGCAGACCGTCCCGTCCGGCGCTGTGCCTCAGACCCGCTGAAGATGCCGTTCGAGCTGCTGCGGCAGCCGCTGCACTTTATGCCGGACCAGTCGGCCGCCCCCCAGTGGCTGCGAGACGCCAACGCGGAGATCGCGGCCGCCGACGGGTTCGTGGTGGTGACGCCCGAGTACAACTGCTCGCTGCCGCCGGCGCTGGTCAACATGCTCGACCACTTCCCGCCGGCCTCCTTCCAACACCGGCCCGTCGGCATCGCCTGCTACTCGCTCGGTGAGCTGACTGCTACTCGCTCGGTAAGCTACGTCCGGCACTGTGCCGATTGCCGAGAGCCGAGTTCGGGTCTCATGCTCGCTGCTTCCCATTCTTCTGATGTATCCTCACGATGCAAAGTCCTTCTCAAATCCTCAAACTCATGTTCCGGACTGGACGGAACATGAGAGTAACAGGTTCCGGACTGTAGTAGCATCATCCGAGACGTGAGAAACTCCCACTCCCGTGCGGTGGAGTAACCGTTTGCGAGGCTGTGTGGCCCATGCATCGAGACGGGCTCAGTCCCGGCGGCGACTGCAGGGTGGCCGACCAGACCAACGCCCCCCAAACCTCTGCCATCCTTCCTGCCTTTAAATGGTCTCATTAGATCGAAGGGGCCTCACACAACAAAACAATATACACGGAAAAAATATTTACTCCGCTAGGTGGGGTTCTGACGTCCCAAATACAGTACCTATATTGGAGTAGATTTTCGCCTTATTTTGGAGTTTTATCCATAGAGCTCCATCTTACTGGGTTTGGATACTCCAAACAGCTTGCATGAGGAGTAGGAGAACTCCCAGGCTCCTTCCTTTACTCTAGTACATCAAGTGCGAAGCAGAGTAACTTGACCCGGCAGGCGGTGGGCCTCTCGGCCACCAATTCCGCGCTGTGGGGGGATTTTTTTGCCCCCCCCCCGTATCTCCGAAACTACTGGGCGGATCCGGAAAATTCGAACGGCGTTCGATAGCCCTGTCAAATTTGTTGAAGGGAACCAAATTTCATTGACCTCGGGGTCACTGATGACGTCACAGGTCAGGTCAAAGATAAAATGTTTCACCGTTCACGGGGCTTCTAGGGAAAGTGCTATAACACCGAGTTAAACGCATTTTGTCGAAAATCAGCGATAAGGCGTCAGTTGTCTAGTACATATGTTGCTATTAGAGGTCACTGGTCATACCAGGCCAGGTCACAGGTCAGGTCACCAAAGGTCACCAAGGGTGTGCGATGCATGTTTTATGGCCAGTTTTTCATTTCCAACTCAATGGTGTTGGTTATAAGACCATCAGGTACGGTTTAGGTCACTTTCTGGTGGAGGTCAGGTCAAGGTCAGGTCAAAAAAGTTCAAATTTAAAAGTTGACATTTTTGCATAAAATGGGTATTGATTCGATGCAACTCGTCACGGGGAGTCTAATGGTGGTCTTTGTTTTGCGCTACAAGGTCTAGAATTGCTAAAAATTGAGTTTGAAAATTTGACTTCATCAATTTTGAAGTTTTTTCGCTATAACTTGGCCAAAGAAAGAGGTTTCGATCTCAAATTTGGTATGGAGATAGAAAGCGGTAGGGACTACCACATATATTCCGTTTTTTCGAAATTCAAAAAACTTTTTGGATTTTTTGGCTACTATATTCTAAAAATCTATTTTTTGATTTTTGGTGGTCAAAATCCAAAACAAATCGAAAAACCGAAATAGCAGTTTGTAGCCCTTTTGATTCCAAACCTTTTATGTCTGAAATATTTTTCTGTATCTCTAAAGCTGTAGGCCTGACAGCTCTTCCCGCAAAACTTTTGTTTGGGTCGAAAATGGCAGAAATGACGTCACTCTGACGTCATTAGCGGCCAACCTATCATAGCCTTTGGGAAAAAATTTGGTCACCATGTGCGCTAGCTACTCCCAGGAGGGTACTGAAAGTTTGGTGACGATCGGCGCAGCGGTTCTCGAGATATATCGAAAAAACTAAGGGGGGGGGGGCAAAAAAATGCCCCCCACCGCCTGGAAGGTTAACCCGCGCCCCACTGGGGGGGGCTATTTATAGCCCCCCCTCCCGTTTTTCTGCAATAACTTCCAAACCGCTTGACGTATCGACGCCAAACTTTCAGCACCTTCGGCTGCATCGATTTGACACCTTGTGTCAAAATTTGAACTTCGTACCTACCATAGGTCGGCCGGAAATGACGTCAGAGTGACGTCATGTTCGGCCGATTTCGACGCAAAACATTGAACCACGGCAATCGCTCCCAAGAGCTCAGTTTTTAAGCTAGATCCAATTTCTTTGCATGAGCTGACTCAGAATAGACTGCGCTATCAAACTGCTATCTCGAATTTTCGAAATTTCGAAAATTTCGAAAATTTTATATAATAAAATTCAAAATTTATATTTATACATTTTTTTCAAAAACTTTTTGACTTTTCGAAAAAACCGGAATATATGTGATAGAACACATTATTATGACTAAGCCTAGCAAGTTTTAGCTAAATATCTTCAAAAATGGCCAAGTTATACGCATTATTGCAAAAAATTAACAATTATTAATTTTTCAAATCAATTTTTCAGCACGAATTTGACATCGTACGCCAATATAAATAGCACCATCGTGTTCCTGAGCTCAAACTGCATCCAATAGACACATTTTTTGTTGAAAAATTATAACTTCAAAATTTGACCTTTTTTGACCTGAAAGTGACCTGACCTAAGCTAAATTTGACTCAAAATGACCTGGAATGACACAGACGACATCAAATTCGAAATCTTTGGCCTAAATGGACCATAAAACATGTGTCACGTGACCAACGGATGATATAATATTTTCGTGACCTGTGATGACCTGACCTTGACCTGAAAATCAAAGTACAAGTTTGGTACCCTCAGAGTATCTAGAGCATCTGTTCACGAGTGTGTGAACCAAAAATGAGCCTGATCTGACTTGTAAGACGGCGGCCAGAGCCCAAAAAGTGAAGAAGCCAAAATGCTAATAATTTTTACTTTGACCTGACCTGTGACGTCATCGGTGACCTCGAGGTCAATGAAATTAGGTTTCGCTCGACAGTTTTTCCGGGGCTATCAGACGCCGTTTGAATTTTGACGATCGGCCCGGTAGTTTCGGAGTTAGGAGGGGGGGCTATGAATAGCCCCCCCCAGTAGGGCGTGTTATACGCAGACCCCAGTGGGGCGCGGGTTAAGTATCCCACTTGATGAGCCAGAGTAAATGAAGGAGCCTGGGAGTTCTCCTACTCCTCATGCATAACTGCTTGGAGTATCCAAACCCGGTAAAATGGAGTTTTATAAGTAAAACTCCAAAACAAGGCGAATATCTACTCCAATATAGGTAGGTACTGTATTTGGGACGTCAGAAGAAAAGCCCCACCTAGCGGAGTCAATATTTTTTCCGTGTAGTTGGCTCGGCGATCAGCTCTGCGGCCGCCAGGTGTCGCTGTGGCCCAGGAGGGGTCGGCCGGTCGGGCCGACGGGCCACCGTGGCGCCACCCGGCACAACGTGCATGGAAAGGAGATAGATGAGCCCCAAGCGCTGCTTTAGGGGCTTTCGGCTGCAAGACAGACGTAAAATTAGGTGACGTGGTGTGGTTTTAGTCAACCCGATGGTAGAAGCGAAGTGCTGCGAAGAGGCACAGCCGGTTAACCGATCTGAGAGCAGTGCTCCTGTCGCTTTTCGGTGATGGTGATCGAACTAATCTACATACCTATGTACAGTCGTCCTCGATAGGCATTTTATCTATACTTAGCAATAGTTGTCGAATGTTCAAAGATTTTCTGCTTTTGTATAATAAGTCCGCCGATGCTTATTATACCTTATTATACGTTCTCATTCGAACTTAAAATTCCCTCCGCTCCGGCCAGGAGGCCCATTTGGCGGTAAGTGTGGCCATCCCCACACCAGGTCCTGACCCTCTCCCCTCTGGTCAGTCAGCTCCGTTCGGCGGTATGATTTAGCTATCCCCTGACTTACCCCTCTCGTCTGTCCAGATACTCGGCGGTTTGTTCTGGCCTGTTTACAGCCCTGTTTACACCCTCGCCTCTATCCAGGTCCGTTCGGCGGTATGGTCTGGCTGTCCCCTGACTCTCCCTCCCCGCCTGTCCAGGTCCGTTCGGCGGTATGCGTGCGGCGGCGTTCGCGCGCCCCCACCTGAGCGAGCTGGGCCTGGTGAGCATCCCGGCCCAGTTCACCGTGCCCACCGTCACCCAGAGCTACTCGGCCGACGGACAGCCGCAGAACGAGCGCATCGAGAACAACGCCGCCCGGCTGGTCACCGAGCTCTCCTGGTACGTGGACGCCCTGAAGGCGGCCAGGGCCGCCGGCGTGCCCAACTGAGGGCGTCAAGAGCCGTCCAGCGATGATGACCTCACGGACGAACACAGTGACACGATATTGAGCTGTCCTGGTGTCAAGTTAAGCCCTGACTTGTGCTGCTTTGAGCTAATCTGACGAGAATATGTCGGATTCATCGTGACAGGGTTTTTATCCTTATCGCCAGGGCTGCGGAGTCGATGGATTTTCGGCGACTCCGACTCCGACTCCGACTCCGGCTTTCAAAAACCAGCTCCGACTCCGACTCCGACTCCGGGCAGAATTGTCGACTCCGACCGACTCCAACTCCCGACTCCGACTCCGCAGACCTAGCAGGGCTGCGGAGTCGACATATTTTCGGTGACTCCGACTCCGACTCCGGCTCGGGTTTCTAAAATCGACTCCGACTCCGACTCCGACTCCGGTCACAACTGTCGACTCCGACCGACTCCGACTCCGACTCCGACTCCGACTCCGCAGCCCTGCTTATCGCACTCTATTGATGCTCAGAATGGAAGCGAATGTGTTTGATCTTCTACATGTGTTCTACCTATTTTCCTGTTTGTTTACGTTTGTAACATTCAGCGCTTGCATTTCCGAGAACTCTTTACCACATAAATCATTATTTTGAAAGTAATTTTTCTTTATCTCTTATGCAATGCTCAATGCTCATTGCTCAACATTTATTGTCCAATGCTCTTACCTATTCCTTGTTTGGGTCTGGCTCGGTCGGTGGGGCTGTCCTATACATTTATGTAGGGGCAGTGGGGCTGGCAGGTCGGATTTGAGTGCTGATGCTCGCAGCCACACAATCACAATGGTTATTTTTCACCGATTATCTGCACCTTAGCTCTGAAATACTCAGAAGATGCAGGGTATTAGGTACATCCAATGTGAGCCTCAGGCTGAGACACTGTAGTCTTTTATTAACCCGCGCACCGACGAGGGTCTGCGCCAACTTCGAACCGACGGGGGGGATGACCGCCCCCCACCCTGAGATCGCAAGAACGAAGCTAGATAGCGACAAGCGGTAAACGGCATGGGATGCGCACGGACAAGGTCTACAATTTTTACCAAGGTCATTTTCAGGTCAGGTCAAAGATGACGTCACAGGGGTAAAAAAAGTCAAAATGGCGGCGCTAGATATGGAGAGAGTTTTCTAGAATAACCCGCGCACCGACGGGGGTCTGCGCCAACTTCGCACCGACGGGGGGGGGGGCGGATGACCGCCCCCCCCCTGAGATCTCGAGAACGAAGCAAGATAGCGACAAGCGGTAAACGGCATCGGATACGCACGGCCAGGATCTACAATTTTTACTAAGGTCATTTTCAGGTCAGGTCAAAGATGACGTCACAGGGGTCGAAAAAGTCAAAATGGCGGCGCTAGATATGGAGAGAGTTTTTCTCGAATAACTTTCGAATTAGTCAAGATAGGAACAAACTAAGGGCATCATCGTGATCCTCTCGTCAATCCGCATCGAATGATATATATGTTGACCTCGAAAGGTCAAGGTCAAAGGTTGACCTCAGGTCACGTGACCTCGAGGTCATCATGTATATCATTCGATGCGTCTTGACGAGCTGAACACAATGAGACCATCCACGCGTCTGTATCTTGTTCCTGTACGGAGTTATTGGCCAAAAACCTTTGGTGACCTTTGATGACGTCACATGACCTCACAGCTGCCCAACAGCAAAACAGACCTCAAGGTAGTGAAGGTTGATCGTATATGAAGTCATGTATGGTATATGGGGACATTCCGACCCGTTTTAGTGGTAAAAACAGGGAGTTGATTTTTCCCCCATTGACTTATAATGGGGAGGTCGCGAAATTGACCTGACCTTAGGTCACCGATATCAAAATTCTGAGATATACAAATTGTAGCTACTAATGACCTAATAATATCCTGCGACTTTCAAAGGCCTCCGACATCTACTGTAGCTCTGGCACGGTGACAAAGTTGCAAAAAAGTGACTTGAGGTTGGGTCATTCAAAGTGACCTGGTGACCTGACCTTAAAAGGTAGGAGGTTCAAACTTGCACACCATGTGTAAAATTGATGAGGTTATAGTCATACCAAATTTCGCGGCGCTACGCGCCGCGGTTTTCCCGCTATTCGCGAAAAACCTCAGGGGGGGGCGGATATCCGCCCCCCCGTCGGTGCGCGGGATAACTTGCGAAATAGTCAAGATAGGAACAAACTAAGAGCATCATCGTGATCTTCTCGTCAATCCGCATCGAATGATATATATATAGGTATGTTGACCTCGAAAGGTCAAGGTCAAAGGTTGACCTCAGGTCACGTGACCTCGAGGTCATCATACATACATATCATTCGATGCGCCTTGACGAGCTGAACACAATAAGACCATCTGCGCGGCTGTATCTTGTTCCTGTATGGAGTTATTGGCAAAAAACCGCTGGCGACCTTTGATGACGTCACATGACCTTACAGCTGCCGAACAGCAAACAGACCTCAAGGTATGTAGTGAAGATTGATCGTATATGAAGTCATGTATGGTTTATGAGGCCATTCCGACCCGTTTTAGTGGTAAAAACAGGGAGTTGATTTTTCCCCCATTGACTTATACCTAATGGGGAGGTCGAGAAATTGACTTGGCCTTAGGTCATCGATATTAAAATTCCGAGAGGAAAAAATTGTAGCTAGTAATGACCTTATAACATCCTGCGATTTTCAAAGGCCTCCGACATCTACTGTAGCTCTGGCACGGTGACAAATTTGCAAAAAAGCGACTTGAAGTTGGGCCATTCAAAGTGACCTGGTGACCTGACCTTAGAAGTTAGGAGGTTCAAAGCTGCACACCATGTGTAAAATTCATGAGAAGATAGTCATACCAAATTTCGCGGCGCTACGCGCCGCGGTTCTCCCGCTATCTACGAAAAACCTCCTCAGGGGGGGGGGGGCGGGCGGATATCCGCCCCCCCGTCGGTGCACAGGTTAACAACCACCAAGGGAAAAGGTAGAGTTAGGAGTTAATTTTTTTTTGCCTTATCTGGCTATTTCCCGTCGTTTATGCAGGTGCAACATTATTGACTGCATAGTGCGTAATTTACATACTAGATATTGTACCTATCACATTATTTTCCTCTTCCAGACCTACCTCTACATCATAAAAGTCGTACCCACATAAAGGGTGCAGTGTGCACGCGCAGGGGAGTGGGGCTAAGAAAAGATCGGAGCTGTTTGGAGAGGAGTGGATTTTAGCGAAAAGATGAACCTGCAGGAGCACGTCAAAACGGCCCTCGAACCAGTAAAGGCAAGGCACTGCACTCTGCAGTAATAGGAAAAGGAGCATCACATAAATAGTGCCCCTTTGGATTCGAATGGCTGAGGCCGGATCAGGATCGAGGACCGCCAGTCCCCCCCCCCCCACATCCCCGCATGAACACTGCACCACCGTGGTCCTGACAACAAAAAACTGACCAGTGACCTTAGACCGACTTATTGCACCCAATCAAGCCAAATCATCACAAATGAACAGCTCGAAGTGGCGAAGCATGCGAGTTATTGGCGAAGGGTATAAAAGCATTTGCTTTCACTTACCTTGGCGGATGGACAGCCCGACCTGTTCATCTTCACAGGGAGGCGGTTGTCAGATTTCCTTTGACGGCGGAGGCGAGTCGGATTTAACCCATGGTTTGTCTGCCGTAGTCACCTTTGGGCGGTCTAAAGAGAAGAGCGTTCACGAGTTTCCAGGTCGTCTGGCACTGGTTTAGGCATAAACCTACATTTCACACGATCATAAGACCATCTTGGTATCGGTTCACCGCCACCAGCGATCAAGGCATACTTTTGCTCTCTACAGCAACAGCGTTAAGATTGGCAAGCTTTAATTTGCTAGTCGCGACTGCTTATTATAAACGCAACAGTCGCGCAGGAAATGTCTTAAAGCTACGAAATATTTTCGTCAGTGTTTCGTCCTCACGCCTGCACCGGTCCACACCTGTGTGTTGATTACGGGATTTCCGCGGGAGTGGGTAAGGCTCTTACATTTTTCAGCATTCTATGTATGTATATTCTATTTTGAACTCTTTTTTCTTCTCGATAACCAAACCGATTGCAATATTTTCTGTCATATAACTGCATGAGCTCACGCAACATCAATATTACAGTCACAGTTGACATTGGAAATTCGAGCATCTCCGGTCTTCTTTGGTTTCGTGTGTTGACGTGGCATTTGTTCGCCGGTTCTGTGCTGGAAATTATGTTTCTGTTTTTATTTAGTATTTTGCTGTGATCATGTTTCAGCATTTATTCTCGAATAAGAATGTGCTAGGCCCGCCATGACACCCAAAAATGTTATGAAGATGAAGCATCCAAGTTAATTATGAAATTGGATGCCTACCTATAATGCTGATCTTACTTTGATAGTGTGCTGAAAGTGCTGGTATTTTTAATATTTTGAGTTCATCTGATCACATTCATGCAACAAATCTGGATATTGAGATAGGGATAGACGTACTGAAGGACGAAGGTGTTGCTGTGAACTGTGAAGAAACATGGATAAAATTTAAAAAAAAATGTAGCCAATGATATAATGCTGCTATAGTGGAACAGTGATTTTTTAAAAGTATTTAGATGATATTGACTGAGTTATTAAGTTGCTTATTACCTAGATTTGGGCCTATAAAACCCCCTTCCAACAAATTGTTAACTGCATAAGCACCTACTATGCAGTGCCAAACGTTTCTAGATAGGCTTATTTTTCATGAGTTAAAATATGTTTAAGGCATAGCATACTTTTGTTTCTTGCTCACACTTGCTGTGCACTTGCAGGTACCCATATAAATATATTCTGGGTTTAAGGCATTATGTGCGGAGTTTGCATCATTTACCTCTCTTTCAACTAGCATGCTTATAAAAAGTAAAGATGTTGCTAACTGTATGCTCAGAAAATATTTTTGATTTCTCTGGTCCTTAATACGTCCGTACATCCCATCCCAAAGCAAATTACGTATTTTAGCATGTTAAAGCTACCTACTGCTTGACGACAATTCTTTTTCCACAGGTTTTATATAGTAGCCAGGAAAATTGTGATAAGAGATGGGCCTTACAATCTCAAACCTCTTCCAGCGAATGCTGGGTAAAAAACAGATGCGGATTCTAATGGGTAAGTAGGAATAATTTTTTTCAAGTTCTGAATCAGTAAGCAACTAGATGCATTAGTGCCAGAAGAGCATTCAATAGCTCTGCTCTGACCTATTCTGACTTTTGTGACCTAGGGTTTTGTTGATTCCTACCATTTAAAAACATCCAAGGTTGATTATCCTGCAGGCATATTTTAACTACCTACCTCTCCATTTGTCACAAGGTGCTGAATTTTTATGAAGAATGTCCAGTATTCTTTTAAAATATTATAGTATAGTTGTTCAGGTAAACTTGATAGAATAGACAAGTATACTTCAGAGTTCAGTTGGTCTGTAACTTGTTTGAAGTGTGGTGTGTGATATCCTTGGTCATTCTTCTGTTTTTGATAATCATGATGTGACTGTGTTTCTTTTTCAGTTGGATTGGATGCTGCAGGAAAGACAACCATCCTCTACAAGCTAAAGCTGGGAGAAATTGTAACTACGATTCCCACCATTGGTATGCTCTCTTGTTTGGCTTCTTATTATAGTTTCATAGATCAACTTGTGAATAAAGTCAGTAATTTATACATGGTGCTAAAGAATGTGTAAAATTTGAAACATTTCAGTAAAATAGTTCTCTAATCTCTACCTAAAAGCTGACAGTTCTTGTGTATTTCTTTCTTGGTGTTCATTTTAAATTCTGATTCTAGGAACTTCAAAAATTGTTGAGCATAAGGTTTTCTTAGGGTATCATTCGCATAATGCTGTTCATGTCATTTTTCATATATGGCAGTCAAGTGCTTTTAACCAGCAATATTTCATTTATATTTCATTGAAGTTATATTTGGTGTTTGTCTTACTTCCAACACAATTGGTTTTATATTAATTTAAAAGGAACTTTTTTTTGCTATTTTTAGACTTTTTAAACGTTGCATTGATTAATTGCGCTAGTTCGTTTCACTGTTATTAACCCGGTTTACATAGCATATTTGACGAGGCTCTAGCTCGTTAATTTGACGATAATTTCGATGTAGTGGTCTTCAAATATTTAGAGGGGATCATTTTGTAAATTGTTAAGCACCATTGGCATCTTTTGCAACATCATGGACGGAGATATAAGCTTGCAACAAACCCTATGTAAACGCGTCTATTGTTTTATTTCACGACCGTCGCGCCACCCAGTGTCGGTATTGTGAACTACTCTGACGGGCTGCCGCGGTCGCCGCCCGTCTGCTCCGCCAGCGAGTTTTCTTTCCTTGAATATCTCCAGGATCTGTGCGTATAAAGGCCTGGCTACACTATGCGTTTTCTGCGTGCGTTTTTTGCGAGTTTGCGTGATTTGCGGAATATCGTTCTAGAAAGAAACGACATTACGTTTTTGTTATATGTTTTTCATATCAACTTTTAATTAACATAAACGTTTTATTAACTTTTATACAAATACCTATTAAAGAAGTTTAATTAATGGTAACCTTTTTTTCTAGAACGATATTACGCAAAACCCGCAAACACGCAAAAAACGCACGCAGAAAACGCATAGTGTAGCCAGGCCTTTATGCTATTGTCTTATGCTGTTGTTCCCGGTGATAGTACCGGTCTTCGCGCCGATTTATTGAGACTTACCGTGCGCTTGCCAGGTTTCAACGTTGAGACGGTCGAGTACAAGAACATTTCGTTCACGGTGTGGGACGTGGGTGGCCAGGACAAGATCCGGCCGCTCTGGAAACACTACTTCCAGAACACGCAGGGACTCATCTTTGTGGTCGACAGCAACGACAGGGAACGCGTGGCAGAGGCGCAGGACGAGCTCCAGAAAATGGTGAGCTTCGACTAGTCTCTGATGTGTTTACTTTGAGATTGTTTCATTCGCTTATATTATTTGATGCAGCCTTGAATCCTGATATAAGTACGGACAGTCTCACTTGGCTCTTATTGAACTTTTGCTGATAAAGTAGCCTGGCATTTTTGATAGAACAAAGTCAACAAGATTTAATTTGAACGGTTTAACTCAAGGGAATATATAAGCTCAAGTTAAGGTCGTGAAAGCGTTTTCGAACGGCCTTGCGTCTGAAAGGCAGACCCTGTTGTTGCCATATATAATTTACTTTTCTGTATAGTAAGTACTTGCGACGTCTGCTCACTTCAACAAGCAAAAGGTCGCGTTAACTTATATTAAAGTAGCCAAGCGAATTCCTCTTCGTTGCCCAAGTGGTCTGTCCTCACAAAACTTATCTAGCGGAATCAAGCCACTTTCATGAGGCACTCATTATCCAGAATCCTTAGTGACCTTGATCACAATCATAATTTTATCCTGACACCCATGCTACATCACTCAAGGCTTTTTTTATGGCAAAAAATATCAAATCAATCATACATATTCTCAAAGTATCCTCAAGTGGCAAGTACCGTTTACGGCCAATGTAAGCATTTCGTGCGGGATTGCGGTTGGCCACAGCGCGCATCGCTATTCAGGCAGTTGCCTTTGCCACCGATCATTTTTTTCAACCCTCGATCATACTGACTCGACTGATATCATGGCTGCGATAAGCATGCATATCGATGCAATGTACATAATTTTTGTTTCTTTCAGTGATTTAAATTATGCACACTTTATCTTCTGTATTTAGATATATGAGATATTTAATGTATTTCATTGCTTTTAAAATTATTGAAAGTCGGCCAAAAGCTCGCCCGAATTAGTGTTTTGCTAACTTCTAACGTCAGGGCGGAGGGGGGGGGGGGTCCGTTGGACCCCCTTGCCGTTCGGGCTCTGATCGAGCTAGGGCTTGCGGAAAGGCGAGCGTGTTGCCCGTGACGAGAGGAAGCTGATGCTACCCATTTTTAAGGTCCTAGGTCATTGGTTGACCTACCAGGTCAGTGACCCAAAAGTTTGGAGAATCGGGACCTGCTAGAACTTCGTAAAGTGAAGCTGCTATACACACGATTTTTCGGGGTACCGATCACGAATTTTATGCTAGTTTTGATCACAGAGGATGTATTCATGCAATTGGGCTAGAGGTCCAGGTCAACCAGTAGGCGTCCTGTCGGCTATCCATAGTAGGTGACAGTCACCACTGACGGCTTCGTAACATGTTACGAAGGCATCAAAACTAATTCATAAATGTTCAAATGGTTGCAAAATTCGAAATCAGCTCCAAAATCTACCCCAGAAACATGTAAAACTCGAAAAAGTGAACGAAGATCATCAAAGGTCAGTGACCTGACCTGACTGGACCTTCACGTGACCTTGATACCCAACATAATGCATGGGATCAAATCAACATCATTTCACATGTTTGGACGTTTAAGACCACAAAAAGACTAGAAACTCACGCATAATGTGAGCCGACATACGCCGAATCGCGATACCGGTCAAACATGGTATCGAGAAACAGGTCACAGGTCAAACGCCATTTGGCTCAGGGTCATGAAATTTTTCAGGGTAGGTGTAAAATTGATCAGCTCGAGGGTGCTAAAAGTTTCGTCGCGATCGGCCGCTTTTTGCGCGAGTTGTTTGCGAAAAAACGAGGGGTTCCGTTCAACCCCCTTTAAGTGCGAGGGTTAAGTCACATTTGTTCTTCAATTGTGCGACTTTGACGTACTTTATTCGTTTTACCACGATTCACCATTCGGTGAGTCCATTGTCGTTTACCATTGCTATTTTCCTTATAAGGCCAGCCCGTATTTGACGGTGCACCTGGCTCTGGAAGAAGGTAAAACCGGTTCTGCCACTGACCTAACGAAACGGACGACTCGGCGGCGGGGGAAATATCGGGAGGGCTGTACTTCGTAGATATGGAGACGAGTGCGGGATGTTGCTGTCAAAGGTTTTCGTTGAAGTTAATTTTGTTATGACGGTCTGGTTCTGGAGTAGGTGCGTGTCCGTAAGTGACCAGTGCGGTCGGGTGGCGGTTGTAGGGCACCATGAACCGACTGCTGTCAGTCTGGTGGTGCCCCCTGTCTGACAGCGATGGTACTGCGGTGTGAAGTACCGGGGGCGGTCTGCCGGGGACGGGGACGGGGTGCGGCAGGGGACGGGACGGACCGATGTGTGCGCGCGTGGGAGCTGTGCCACCTGCCGAGGGACCGCCCTGCAGACCCGGTGTCACGGCTGCAGGGCGCTCCGATAAACTGATATCGACACCGGCCAGCGCTGAGGAGCGCCCCGAGACGCGACGCTGCCACAGTGTACACGCTTCGAACTCAATGCTGAAACTGATTTTGACCACCGTGCCCGTAGAATTACGAATGCGTAACAATAGAAGAAAGTGGTTATAAACGTTGGCACGGGTGACCCCCATGTGACATGTCATGCCATAGATAACATGAATCATGTTATCTATGCTCATTCCTATTTTCATTGGAAAGGAAAGTTTTGCGTGGTTTATCTGGGTGCACAACACAACACGACACACGGCGCCCAACTAATGTAATTGTGCGTCTATTACGCTCGCATAGTCCACTGGTTCTGAGCTTGTTGACTGTGTTGGACCGCCACATTCAGCACGTCCCTACTGGCGACGCAGGTATATTTGTTATGCATGATCATATCGAGTGGCCTCGCGTCCCCAGTTTCACCACTGTTTTACCGTTGGCCGGTGACCTGTGAGCTGACTGGTGCGCCGTCTGCCCTCTCCAGCTGCAGGAGGACGAGCTGCGGGACGCCGTGCTACTCGTGCTCGCCAACAAACAGGACCTGCCCAACGCCATGACGGCTGCCGAGCTCACCGACAAACTCAAACTCAACGAGCTCCGGGGACGCAAGGTCAGCACACTCACCGTCTGTCGTGATAGTGGGTAAATAGCAAACTGTGATATAGGCCGCTATTAGGGTTACGCCTTGTGAGTCGTAATTGATGAACGACTTGACAGGGAACCGAGCACCAGCGACTTAACTCTGTTCTGTTTCTATTACATCAACATTTGTACTCGTACAGTTCATACAGCTGATAATTTACCATTCGATAAGTCTTCTCTGTTCTCTCAAGTCTCAGGTACAGCCCTCAGCAGACTGCGTAGTAGGTATTCTTTTTCCGACAAAACTGATAATAATTCAAAAGTCATGTTATCAGTCGGTCGAAACTCACTGCAAATAGATGCGCCATGCTCCACTCCTTCGATAGGGCCTATCAATAAACAAAGCATACACCTTGTGTGGCAACAAAATGTAAAAGTTCGTTTTGGGGGCAAATATAAACTTTTGTTGTTGTTTTTTTTTTTTTTTGCCAAACCTGAGGCCTCTTGCACCAAAATCCTCTTGCACCAATGCTTGGATTATTTTGCATCGTATACCCAGTCCAAGTCTCAAATGTAACAATTTGCGTGCAAAATTTAGCAAGCACAAATAGGATTATGTATTGGGCTATTGCAAACAAATTTACCACCGTTAGATTAGCTTATTCTGAAACCAGTTTTTCGATTTTACCTAGCAAGGTAGTTTGGTGCAAGAGGCCAGGATGGGAAATGCATACGGTGATAATGCCAATCTAAGCTGCGGAGTCTCGCGCATCTTGCTGTTACGATTTCCGAGTGCCCGATAGCATAGTATTCGCGTTATTCTCGGTTTTGTCGAAAAAAGAATACCTACCACGCAGTCTGCAGAGGGCTGTACCTTCCTCGTATGCCCCTTGCCTATTCAATCGGACTTTTTCATTATTCACATTCGGATTTGTTTGCACATTTTGTGGCATCTAGCTGCGCTTGTCCAAACGCCCATCGCTAGCCCTAATTCCGAGCCGTACTCACCTGAGTCGCGGTCAGTGGCTGACGCTCCTGAGGTGTCTGGTGACATTGTCTCTTCGTCTCCAGGGACGCTCTCGTCCGTACCATATATCAGGCTGACGTACGGTGGTGTTTATCTTCTGTGCGTCCCGGGGTGACGCTGATCCACCTGTCCATCTCTCCCACTCCTCTTTAAGTATCTTACCCGTTAGTACACCTCCCGCGCACCTGTCTTCCTGCCGCCCCTGACTCGGTGTTTTCTCTGCGTGCTCCACAGTGGTACATCCAGGCGGCGTGTGCCGCCCAGGGTCAGGGCCTGTACGAGGGTCTGGACTGGCTGTCGGCTGAGCTCTCCAAGTAACACCCGAGTGACGACGGCGCCTCAGCGGCGCCAGGGTTGTGGGACAGCAGGGACAGACCTCCGTGCCTGCGGGCCGCCGACGAACCGTGGCTGGTACACACGGGCGGCCGCGCGGTCACAGGACATCGGACCGAGTGTGGGCGGCCGGCCGGCTGTGTGGGCTCTCTCACTGAGGGGAGTGTGGTCACAGGCTGCTGGTCCGAGCGTGCAGTGTCCCGGTCCGGACGGAAGGGAGTGCCACGTGTGACGGTCCGGGCGGGGCGTGAGTGCCGCGGTCCGGGCGGGGCGTGAGTGCCACGGCCTGGGCGGTGCGTGAGTGCCACGGCCCGGGCGGGGCGTGAGTGCCGCGGTCCGGGCGGGGCGTGAGTGCCACGGCCCGGGCGGGGCGTGAGTGCCACGGCCCGGGCGGGGCGTGAGTGCCGCGTCCCGGGCGGGGCGTGAGTGCCACGGTCCGAGTGGAGGGGAGGGAGCGCTGCACTCGGCTCGGCGGCTGCTCCAGTGAGCGGCCGCCAAAACTGCATCTATAGACGTTGTTTGAGACGGGGCATCGAAGCCGTGCTACATTCCTCTCGATGCAATCACAGTCACCGGTGCGGCTTCGCGATTGTGTTCTCCGATCTGTTTGTTGGGTGGGCACTGTCATCGGATTATTCAAATATACATATATTCTTTGATGTGAAATGACGCAGTCTCTCTTGAACGTGGCATTATGCTTGTTGGTTGTGCTAACATGCGCAATGTAAGCACGAATCAACCAAATCAAAGCTCGAAACAGCTTTGTTTTTGTAAAAGGTAGTCTTTGCCAAATTGCTTTGTATTTCTCGCTCACCCTCACACACCACCGTGCGGTCCCATGGCTCGGACACGACTCCCCCTCTTCCCTATCCGGCGCGCCGGCATGGCCCCGAAACTGGGACGAACGGCCGCCGGGACCGCTCCGACACCAGATGTGCCCTCCGTCCACACCGGAGGGGACGGGGCAGACGGCGGCCGGCCGACGCTCCCCGCAGCGCCGAGGCGACAGCCTCCAAAACCCAACTCTCACACTACACCTTCCCCTGATTCTCAAGAATCAACCACTGAAATTTTAACACAAACACGCACACAACCAGCCAAGCAATCCTAAGAGCCATTCTCTTAAACGCTCCTAACCAGCACGCATAATGTCCACGTGCCTTCCCCAATCATTTAAGAATCTTTTTTACGTGCAGCGCCCGGCATGAATAAATGCGCTTGGCCAAGTTCACCAATTTTGTCACGGACCACAGATGCCACGAAACTACCAGCTCTCTCATTCAACCACTTGCCCTCTCCTGTCCATCAAAGGCGCACACAAAATCAATTGGTCACCTTAAATCAAATGCACACAAAAAACCACGAGCTCACAAACAATCAGACACTTATTCTAAAAAGTCCCGGTCACTGCCACCACACGACCCTCCTGTGGAATTTCTAGTGCAGTGCCGGCGACTGCCACCACACGGCTCCTGTGGAATTTCCAGTGCAGTGCCGGCGACTGCCACCGCACGGCCCTCCTGTGGAATTTCCATTGCAGTGCTGGCGACTGCCACCACACGGCTCCTGTGGAATTTCCAGTGCAGTGCCGGCGACTGCCACCACACGGCCCTCCTGTGGAATTTTCAGTGCAGTACCGGCAACTACCACCACACGGCCCTCCTGTGGAATTTTCAGTGCAGTCCCGGCAGCTGCCACCACCTCCACAGCCCCACCGGCTGTCACTCCCACAGCCCCACCGGCTGTCACTTCCACAGCCACACCGGCTGTCACTTCCACAGCTCCACCGGCTGCCAATCCCATGCAGCCCCACCGGCTGTTACTCCCACAGCCCCACCGGCTGCCGCTCCTCCACAGCCCCACCAGTTGTCACCTTTACCGCTGCGAGCATCACTCGCCAGCGCACTAACTGCGAGCATCACTCGCCAACACGTTCACTGCGAGCACCACTCGCCATCACCCTCACTGCGAGCATCACTCGCCAGCACCCTCACTGCGAGCATCACTCGCCAGAGCATTGCACAGAGCGGCCCAGCCGCTCAGTGTCCAGTTAGTCCAGCGGCACTAGGTTCTTCTGCCGGTCGCAGTCCACCTCGCCGTATCTGCCAATCCTCCCGGCCGGCTGTATATGGGCCAGTCCAGCAGCAGCCACCGGGACAGACGAGGTTACGGGCGGGGTCCACGGCAGACGCCACGGCTTCTGGGCGACCCCTGCTTCTCACTGCCTCGACAGCTCCGTTGCAAGTCGTAGCAAGCGGTGCCGATCACTGCCGCGTCACTGCACCATCGCTCTCTTCAGGCATGTTGCCGAAATAGCTTGTAAAAGGTAGTCTTTGCCAAATTGCTTTGTATTTCTCGCTCACCCTCACATACCACCGTGCGGTCCCATGGCTCGGACACGACTCCCCCTCTTCCCTATCCGGCGCGCCGGCATGGCCCCGAAACTGGGACGAACGGCCGCCGGGACCGCTCCGACACCAGATGTGCCCTCCGTCCACACCGGAGGGGACGGGGCAGACGGCGGCCGGCCGACGCTCCCCGCGGCGCCGAGGCGACAGCCTCCAAAACCCAACTCTCACACTACAGTTTTTCATGTTTGTGACATGACAAATCCCCAGGAGCGATGTTTAACCCTCGCCGGCCGAGGGGGGGGGCGGGTGCCGCCCCCCCCATAGGGTTTTTTTCGCGATAGCTCCGAACACGCTGGCGATAGAGAGCTGAAACTTGGCATACCTGACCTTTGATCCAAGCCGAATCTTTTGACACCAACCGCATTTTTGGGTCAGGTCAGGTCACTGACCTATGACGTCATAAGTGAACCTCTGCACGGTCTTCAGATGTCGCAACTTCGCAACGCCCTCACTGCCAGAGGAGATGTCACAGGGAAATGAAACTTGCAGGATCTAGTATCCATTATGAGTCCCACAACTTGTATATCTCGGATTTTTCCTAAAGGTCATGTGAGGTCAGGTCATTTTCGTGACCTCACCATTATAAGTCAATGGGGAAAAATTCAAACTGCTATTCTGGCGCCGGGAACGATCTCCAACTATCTCAAGCACACAGAATCGTGATTTGATGCACTCCTTGCAAGGTTAGATGCGTCACTTTTGCAATGTTGACCTTGCGTGACGTCATTTATGACGTCATCAATGTCAAATTAGTTTTTCGTCAATAACTCTTGATCAAATTGAGCTAGCGAGTCCGGAAAGGCACCAATGGACTCAGGAAGGCCTGCCGAATCGAATGATATGCGACATGACCTCTTTCGACCAACTTCGTGACCTGGGGGTGCTGACCTGACCTTGACCTGAGGTCAACACCCCAAGTTGACCTGACCCGGACAAAAAGTATATCATTCGACGCGCCTGAGCGAGGCGAACACGATGCTGCCAAAATCGGCGCTCTGCGGCCGTTTTTTGCGAAGTTATTCACCAAAAACTGAACCGTACCCTGAGGCACTTGACCTGACCTCAGAGGTCACCGGATGACCTAGGACCTTAAAATCGGGTACCAATCTCTGCGTCTCGTAACGGCGCACACGCTCGTTTTTTCCGCGAGGCGCTAGCTCCACCAGGGGCGAAACGGCGAGGGGGGGTCGTACCCGCCCCCCCCCCCTCGGCCGCCGCGTATGTAGAAAACCAATAGGTCCGGCGAGGGTTAACCCTCGCCCCGTTGGGGGGGGGGCATTTTGGCCCCCCCCCTGTGGTTTTTCCTGAATAGCAAGAAAACGGCGGCGCGCAGCGCCGCCAAATTTTCAGTACCTTCCCGGGCATCAATTTGACACCTTCACACCAAATTTCAAGTCTTAGGTCACCTTAGGTCAGGAGTTATTGAGGTCAAACTGAGGTCATGTTCGAGCAAAAATGAGCAAAAAACATGCAATCTTGAAACGCTCACCAAATCTACAGTTATCAAGCAATTTCAAAGTTCTTTATATGGTCTAGTAGACAAAAAGCGGCACTACAAAACTGCTATCTCGGATTTTCAAAATTTTGGGTTTTTGACCCAAAAAAATTTCAAAAAACTGATTTTTTTTAGAAAAACTAAAATAAAATCCAAAATTTTTCCGAATTTCGAAAAAAACCGGAATATATGTGATAGTCCCTGCGCTCTTCTATATACATACCAAATTTCAGATCGATATCTCGTTTTTTGGCCAAGTTATAGCGAAAAAACTGTTCAAAAATGATGACGTCAAATTTTTGAACTCAATTTTTAGCGATTCTAGACCTCGTACGGCAAAACAAAGACCACCATTGAACTGCCCGTGACGAGCTGCATCGATTCGATACCCATTTTATGCAAAAATATCAACTTTGAAATTTGACCTAATTTGACCTGACCTTGACCTGACCTTGACCTGACCTTGACCAAAACGTGACCTAAGCTGGCCCCAAAGGCTGCCTGACCCACATAATAGCATTTGTCATGTAAAATGGACCATAAAACATGTATCACATGACACTTTCATATTGTGACCCCCCAGTGACCTGACCTCTGTGACCTGAGCTGGTATCAGTGACCTCAACTAGCAAAATATGTGTTTGAAGAACATTTCCCCATCGATGATTTTCAATGAAATGCATTTTACTCGATTTTACAGCGCATTTCTTGAAATGCCTGTAAACGGTGAAAATTGGACCTTTGACCTGACCTGTGACGTCATCGGTTTGACCTAGGTCAATAAAATTGGGTCACAAGGTAGTTCCCTGATAGGGCTATCCAACACCGTTTGCCGCTTGTCGCTACGTTGCGTGGTTCTCGAGATCTTAGGGGGGGGGGCCAAAATGGCCCCCCCCCCCAACGGGGTGCGTTGCTCGGCAGAGCCCAACGGGGCGCGGGTTAACCCGCGCCCCACTGGGGGGCTATTTATAGCCCCCCCTCCCGTTTTTCTGCAATAACTTCCAAACCGCTTGACGGATCGACGCCAAACTTTCAGTACCTTCGGCTGCATCAATTTGACACCTTGTGTCAAAATTTAAACTTCGTAGCTACCATACGTTGGCCGGAAATGACGTCAGAGTGACGTCATGTTCGTCCGATTTCGACGCAAAACATTGAACCACGGCAATCGCTCCCAAGAGCTCAGTTTTTACGCTAGATCCAATTTCTTTGCATGAAAGGACTCAGAATTGACCGCGCTATCAAACTGCTATCTCGGATTTTCAAAATTCTGAAAATTTCGAAAATTGTATATAATAATATTCAAAATTTATATTTTTACCTATATTTTTTTTCAAAAAGTTTTTGACTTTTCGAAAAAACCGGAATATATGTGACAGAATGCATGATTATGACTAACTCTAGTAAGTTTCAGCTAAATATCTTCAAAAATGGCCAAGTTATACGCATTATTGCAAAAAATTCACAATTATTAATTTTTAAAATCAATTTTTTAGTACGTATTTGACATCGTACACCAATATAAATGGCACCATCGTGTTCCTGAGCTCAAACTGCATCCAATAGACACCTTTTTTGTTGAAAAATTTTAACTTCAAAATTTGACCTTTTTTGACCTGAAAGTGACCTGACCTAAGCTAAATTCGACTCAAAATGACCTCGAATGACACAGACGACATCAAATTCGAAATCTATGGCCTAAATGGACCATAAAACATGTGTCACGTGACCGACGCATGATATAATATTTTCGTGACCTGTGATGACCTGACCCTGACCTGAAAATCAAAGTAAAGTTTGGTACCCTCAAGGTATCTAGAGCATCTGTTCACGAGTGTGGAAACCAAAAATGAGCCTGATCTGACTTGTAAGACGGCGGCCAGAGCCCAAAATGTGAACAAGCAAAAATGCTAATAATTTTTACTTTGACCTGACCTGTGACGTCATCGGTGACCAGCATCTGTTCACGAGTGTGGAAACCAAAAATGAGCCTGATCTGACTTGTAAGACGGCGGCCAGAGCCCAAAATGTGAACAAGCAAAAATGCTAATAATTTTTACTTTGACCTGACCTGTGACGTCATCGGTGACCTTGAGGTCAATGAAATTAGGTTTCGCTCGACAGTTTTTCCGGGGCTATCAGACGCCGTTTGAATTTTGACGATCGGCCCAGTAGTTTCGGAGTTAGGAGGGGGGGGCTATGAATAGCCCCCCCCCCCCAGTAGGGCGTGTTATACACAGACCCCAGTGGGGCGCGGGTTAATGTTTGGTGAATTTCATTCACAGTATTGTGTGCCTTACACAACTCACAATATCGACCGCGACACAAATTACCAAGGGTGCTACATTTGGGCCGTTTTGTTAGCTCTGCGTAGCTGCGGTCATCTGACTCATTTTGTGTTTATTTTCCTCTCAGCAGTTACACCGTCAAAAAAGTGTCAAGGATGTGCTGGGCGATGCAACTGATGACTGATTCAACAGGCATGATTGTTGGTACCTGTTCGGCAGCGCAACTAACCAAGAGTTCTAAAAGAAAGAAAGAAAATGAAACAGTCCCCACGTAAACGCACCCTCGTCGGCGGCCTGCCCGCCTGTCGGTGTACCGGTGGCTCTGAGGTTTCCCGTCCCGCACTGTGTACGGCCGCTCCGTGCCCGGCGGGCCGTACCGGGGCCGTGCACTGTTCGCAGCACGGCCGGTGACGCCACGGCCCTCTCTGGTTGCCCGTCCAACGCTGTGAGACAATAGGCACTGCGCCGTTCACTGCTTGGGATACGTGACGCTACTGCCAACTCCGAAACCATTCGGTGAATTGCTCACTGTAAATGGGCTGTGAGAATACCATAACCCGTTCAATGGCGTTATGCCGAGCGTGGAGCGTACGCCAGCCCTCATAGGTCGCGCATTGAACTTGCCAATCATGTATTGAACGGATAACACAAGTGAGCTATGCACTTACAAGGATTAAACGAGCACGGAACGTAAAACACCAGGTGCTCTACAACATGAAGACGTAATACGTGCCAAGGCACTAACTTATGTCTATTTTCTTTTATTTTGTAACGCGAAACTGTCATCGCTAGTTCTCTTGCATTTTCTTCATTAACTTTATGTGGGCTAACTTCAGGGCTAGTCTTCAACTTCCACTTTGATGTGCACGAAGAAACTTTTGGCCTACGGACCAAGATGTCATGGAATCACTACTATAAACAAAATTCCATCTTTCCCATCCTCATAAGCATAAGACAGGGCTTGGAACTATAAATTATATGGACTCATTTCCAACCGTCATTTATCAGCAGCCATGCTAACGTGCTACAGAGGACGCTGAGAAATGTCAACAGTAAGGTAATGGAGCGATGAATGCTGCAGCCAGCGTTGCACTGGCGCGGCAGTGTCCGCCTCCCCTCTATCTGAGACTGAGTCAGCGGGCCATGCGCGCTCTCCCACGAGTCCCGACCGACTACACCGTCCATTGTTCCCACAAATCCACAGAGCGGCTGCTCAGTCTTACCAGGGCTGTGCCAACTAAGGTTCAATTGTTACCTGTAACGGGCGCCGTTATAGGTGCACATATGTATGTGTTTGTCGGTTGAGCCGAAAATATGTTTGCTTTCAGTCGGTGACGTGGCTGCATAGTGCATAGTGTATAAATTATTGGTTAGCCCACATCTCAATATGGGCTAGTAGGGCAGCTGAAGCAGCAGCACCGTTTCACACCTGTCCCTCGGCCCTCCATAGGCCGCCAGAGAGGGGAAGCGCGCGCCGGGCCGGTCGGCCGCGCGGTGGACTGCTCGCCGCCGTCCCCTCCCGTCGCTGTACACGCCGCCAGAGGCACGTACCCGCAGTCTCCCTGCACGCCTTCGTCCCCTCTGGTCGTTCTACATGCGCCGCCGCCGGCACGAACCGGCAGTTTCCCACGGGCACTGACGGTGTCCGGTGTCACTTCCACCTCGGCGCTGACGGCTCTGGCCGGCTACCAGTTACCGACTGACTTCAGACTTCCTGCTACCGACTCAAAGTCTGCTACTGAGACTGACTCTTCTTGTTTCAGACTGAGAAGCCGAATACTTTCAGTTCGAATTTCTGCGCGCTGCTGACTGAACGCATCCAATTTCTTCATGCTTCACCTGCTGATGGCTTTATCGCGCTATTTGCGTACCGGAGACATTAGGGAAACCATATACATATAAAAGAGTTTACGACAGATCATCAATGACTCAAAGTGCACTGAACACATTCTAGGCAACACATGGCACTTGCAACCAGGGCTGCGGAGTCGGATTTGGAGTCGGAGTCGGTCGGAGTCGACAGTGCTGACCAGAGTCAGAGTCTGAGTCGAAGTTGGTAGGAGTCGACAGTACTGACCGGAGTTGGAGTCGGAGTCGATTTTGGAAACCAGAGTCGGGGTCGGAGTCACTGAAAATCCGTCCACTCCGCAGACCTGGCATGGGGCTGCGGAGTCGGGGTCGGAGTCGGAGTTGGAGTCATCGAAAATCCATAGACTCCGCAGCCCTGCTTACAACTACCCCAGTCCCCACATATTCATAAAGTGCAGTTCATTACCGATTGGGCCTCATGGATCGATTGAAATTAACTATTAAGTGTAATTTGGTCTTGCATAATACGATGTCACATAGTAACAATACCGTCTCGCAACTCTCGGAAATGCGATGAAGTTGAAACAGAAGAAGGTGACAAAAAGGACGCCGCTTTACCTCACCGCTTAGGTATTGATTGTCGCTTTGACCGTCTCCTCGCTCGAACGTTACAATCATCATTATATAGCTATCGCTTCCACAAATACATTTTTGCTTTCGTTGATGACGTTGTATTTCTCCATATATTGTAATGGGCTGAATCAGCTTTGTAAGCTAATCACTGCGTGAGTAAGACGGTTGTCAGGTTTTGCTCAGGCTGCGGTGACCGCGGGCGCCAGTATGACGGGCGTCCCGTACCGGATTAATCGCCAGCCCTAGTTCACCGGTAACTCAGCTTTCCCAGCCTGCCTCTGACTGACGTATACGTAAACTAAAACCACGGCACCGTATAGAGTTCGCTGTGGGTGACCTGTTCCACCAGACGACTCCGGTTCAACAGGACGGGATGGGTCACACAAACTGCAGGGTCAAATCGAATTAGTCGCCCTAATGTCTCTTCCATGTCCTCTTCCTACTGTTCTGAAACCGTCTCAAAAGACGACCTAACACAGCAGTAATGAATCGTCAACCTGCGCTTTACTCAAACATTTATGCTTTAGAGATTTTTATGTAAGGCAGAGGGGCATGTAACTTAACCCGCGCACCGACGGGGGTCTGCGCCAACTTCGCACCGACGGGGGGGGGGGGCGGATGACCGCCCCCCCCCCTGAGATCTCGAGAACGAAGCAAGATAGCGACAAGCGGTAAACGGCATCGGATACGCACGGCCAAGATCTACAATTTTTACTAAGGTCATTTTCAGGTCAGGTCAAAGATGACGTCACAGGGGTCGAAAAAGTCAAAATGGCGGCGCTAGATATGGAGAGAGTTTTTCTCGAATAACTTTCGAATTAGTCAAGATAGGAACAAAATAAGGGCATCATCGTGATCCTCTCGTCAATCCGCATCGAATGATATATATGTTGACCTCGAAAGGTCAAGGTCAAAGGTTGACCTCAGGTCACGTGACCTCGAGGTCATCATGTATATCATTCGATGCGTCTTGAAGAGCTGAACACAATGAGACCATCCACGCGTCTGTATCTTGTTCCTGTACGGAGTTATTGGCCAAAAACCTTTGGTGACCTTTGATGACGTCACATGACCTCACAGCTGCCCAACAGCAAAACAGACCTCAAGGTAGTGAAGGTTGATCGTATATGAAGTCATGTATGGTATATGGTGCCATTCCGACCCGTTTTAGTGGTAAAAACAGGGAGTTTATTTTTCTCACATTGACTTATAATGGGGAGGTCGCGAAATTGACCTGACCTTAGGTCACCGATATCAAAATTCCGAGATATACAAATTGTAGCCACTAATGACCTAATAATATCCTGCGACTTTCAAAGGCCTCCGACATCTACTGTAGCTCTGGCACGGTGACAAAGTTGCAAAAAAGTGACTTGAGGTTGGGTCATTCAAAGTGGCCTGGTGACCTGACCTTAAAAGGTAGGAGGTTCAAACTTGCACACCATGTGTAAAATTGATGAGGTTATAGTCATACCGAATTTCGCGGCGCATATCCGCCCCCCCCCCCCCCCGTCGGTGCGCGGGTTAATTGTATGAATTTTGAAAATTCCTTTTATATGTAAATGGGGATTGCGAGGCCTTGTTCCGGCCGAAAAAAGTCCCTTTAGGAAGAAATCGAACTACGGTAAGTTAACATCAAGTTAACTTCGCTTTTTGATATTTGTTTTAAAATGCATTTAGGCAATATAATTTCAACTTCAGTCTAGTTTGTCGACACTGGCAGCGACATGTCGACCTGTCGGCAGTGCAAGGTCGACCTGTCGACTGCCACAGTCGATCTGTGGAGAGGAAGCCTGTGGATTGTGACAGGTCGTCCTTTCCACTGCAGCCTGTCGGCCGCTGTGAGAGCTCGGTAACCGGAGCGGCGCGGGGCCCGGGCCGATAGCGTAGGTATCGCTGCAGGGAGGCGTACCCCGGCACACCTGATCCCCGGCGGGCGGCCAGTCGAGCGAGAGAGGTGCTGCCGGAGACCGCCGGCCGGTACACCGCCACCGCCCGCAGCGACACCCAGGGGCAGCGGCCGTCGGCGCCGAGAGGAACCGAACGGGAGGTCAAGAGAGGGGACAGCCAACGAGCAAGGAGCCTGACAGCTCGGAAACCAGCAACAGCAATCAGAAACAGACCGCCAGAGAACGTGCAGACGGTCACCCTGGGGACGGATAACTAGACGTCCAGGACCCAAACATTCAACCGCGAAACAGCAAACCAGATAACTTACAGCCGTGCAAGTCCGCTGCATCGATATACATCTCATCAGTGGGGAAATCGGTGAGTTAGCCCGCGCACCGACGGGGGTCTGCGCCAACTTCGTACCGACGGGGGGGGGGGGCGGATGACCGCCCCCTGAGATCTCGAGAACGAAGCAAGATAGCGACAAGCGGTAAACGGCATGGGATATGCACAGACAAGGTCTACAATTTTTACTAAGGTCATTTTCAGGTCCGGTCAAAGATGACGTCACAGGGGTCAAAAAAGTCAAAATGGCGGCGCTAGATATGGATAGAGTTTTTCTCGAATAACTTTCGAACTAGTCAAGTTAGGAACAATCTAAGGGCATCATCGTGATCCTCTCGTCAATCCGCATCGAATGCTATATATATATATATATATAGGTATGTTGACCTCGAAAGGTCAAGTTCAAAGGTTGACCTCAGGTCACGTGACCTCGAGGTCATCATATATATTATTCGATGCGCCTTGACGAGCTGAACACAATAAGACCATCTGCGCGGCTGTAGCTTGTTCCTGTACGGAGTTATTGGCAAAAAACCTTTGGTGACCTTTGATGACGTCACATGACCTTACAGCTGCCCAACAGCAAAACAGACCTCAAGGTAGTGAAGGTTTATCGTGTATGAAGTCATGTATGGTATATGGGGCCATTCCGACCCGTTTTAGTGGTAAAAACAGGGAGTTTATTTTTCCCCTATTGACTTAGGTACCTATAATAGGTATGGGGAGGTCGAGAAATTGACCTGACCTTAGGTCACCGATATCAAAATTCCGAGATATAGAAATCGTAGCTTCTAATGACGTTATAACATCCTGCGACTTTCATAGGCCTCCGACATCTACTGTAGCTCTGGCACGGTGACAAAGTTGCAAAAAAGTGACTTGAGGTTGGGTCATTCAATGTGACCAGGTGACCTGACCTTAGAACTATTTGCTGGAGATGCTGCAGTTATCCAATATGCGGACGACACCCAAATTCTTGTCAGCGGCAAAAAATCCGAACTTAATCAAGTCGTTCTCCGCATGGAAAATGCTCTTTTATCCCTTGACTCTTGGTTTAGAGCAAATGGACTCAAAGTGAATGCCGCCAAAACTCAACTGATGCTGTTAGGTAGCCCCCAAAATCTGCGCACTTTAAACAACGTCACAGTTACCTATCGCGAACACGTTCTGAGACCCCAACCCGAGGCAAAAAAATTAGGCCTTTTCTTCGATCCCTCGTTGAGCTGGGACCGTCATGTCTCTGTTGTTACTAGCCGCTGCTTTGGAGTTTTGACTGGTCTGTCGCATCTGCGGGGACACCTACCCATGTCTGTGCTCTCAGCGCTGATCCATGCCCTGGTCTTCTCACAGCTACGGTACTGCATCTCGGTTTATGGAATCTGAAAAAAGAGTAACCTTTCTCGCATTCAAAAAGTTATTAACTATGGCGCTAAAATGCTTTTTGGCCGCAGAAAATACGACCACGCTTCAGATTTACTCAAGAGACTGGGCTGGCTCGGCGCTGAGAGCATGGCCTCTTACCACACCTTATGCTCACTGCACAAAGTGTGGCGCTCGGGCGAGCCCGAGCAGCTGGCAGCTGAACTCACCACTGTAGCCGCGGCGCGTGTGGGCACTGAGCGCACCACGCGGCAGGACGATCTACTGTCAGTGCCCCGGTCCAGGACTGAGATGGGCCGCCGCCGTTTTACCTGCCGAGGGCCAAAGCTTTACAATGATCTGCCGCGCGACCTAGTCCGGCTGCCCGTGCCGCCGTTCGGTCGACACCTGAAACGTCATCTCGTCAGTTTACCTCCACACTGACGTACAGAGTATCCAGGCATGTGTGTGATGTGTGCAGGTGTGTGCGTGCTTGTGTGTGTGCTCACTCTAAGTGTATACGTGTATGTGTGACATTCCTTTTACAAGTTTACAAGATCTGACAAGAGGTTGTAATAGCCATAACTTGCCATGAATGACCTCAATACAAGTATGAATATGAATGAATATGAATAAGAAGTTAGGAGGTTCAAACTTGCACACCATGTGTAAAATTGATGAGAGAAGAGTCGTACCAAATTTCGCGGCGCTACGCGCCGCGGTCTTCCCGCTATTTGCGAAAAAACCTCAGGGGGGCCGAATATCCACCCCCCCCCCCGTCGGTGCGCGTGTTAACCCTCGCACAGTGATGCAAATGGGGTTCACGAGTGGCCATAAATACCGAAAAGGCCCAAATTTCAAGTTCACCTAATCAAATAAATCGTAATATGGCCAGTCAGGCAAATGTTTGGGGTGTGAAAAATATGATTTTCATGTTTTTGTCAAAACCGGCCTCGTGGTAGCCTGGGGCAAGACGCCCCAGATAATTTATTTTGCTGCATAAATTTTGTCCCACATCACCTGGAAGGCCAAATTTGTGCTCAATGCGTTCTTTGGACATTTTACTTTAAATTGCACCCCTCAAATTCATTCACTTATGATCGGACTCCAAGCTAGGAAGTGATTTGTGAAGCAACTGCAAATGGGGCATTTTGCCCCAACCCCAGGGCAAAACGCCCCACGGCCTGGGGCAAGTAGCCCCATACTTTAGATTACAGATTTAACATGGTAGTTGGCTTAACCCGCGCCCAGATGGGGTCTGCCGAGCAACGCGGTCTGATGGGGGGGGGGCATTTTGCCCCCCTCAGATCTCGAGAACCACGCAACATAGCGACAAGCGGTAAACGGTGTTGGATAGCCCCAACAGGGAACTACCTTGTGACCCAATTTCATTGACCTCGGTCAAACCGATGACGTCACAGGTCAGGTCAAAGGTCGAATTTTCACCGTTTACAGGCATTTCAAGAAATGCGTTGTAAAATCGTGTAAAATGCATTTCATTGAAAATCATCGATGGGGAAATGTTCTTCAAACACATATTTTGCTATTTGAGGTCACTGATACCAGGTCAGGTCACAGAGGTCAGGTCACTGGGGGGTCACAATATGAAAGTGTCGTGTGATACATGTTTTATGGTCCATTTTACATGACAAATGCGATTATGTGGGTCAGACAGACTTTAGGGCCAGCTTAGGTCACGTTTTGGTCAAGGTCAGGTCAAGGTCAGGTCAAGGTCAGGTCAAATTAGGTCAAATTTCAAAGTTGATATTTTTGCATAAAATGGGTATCGATTCGATGCAGCTCGTCACGGGGAGTTCAATGGTGGTCTCCGTTTTGCGCTACGAGGTCTAGAATTGCTAAAAATTGAGTTCCAAAATTTGACGTCATCAATTTTTAACAGTTTTTTTCGCTATAACTTGGCCAAAAAAAGAGGTATCGATCTAAAATTTGGTATGTATATCGAAGAGCGCAGGGAATATCACATATATTCCGTTTTTTTCGAAATTCGAAAAAAATTTGGAAATTTTTTGAGTTTTTCTAAAAAATCAATTTTTTAATTTTTGGGGGTCAAAATCCAAAAATTTCAAAAATCCGAGATAGCAGTTTTGTAGCGCCGTTTTTTCTCTACACAACCACATAAAGAACTTTAAAATTGCTTGTGAACTGTACAATTGGTGAGCGTTTCAAGATGTCATGTTTTTTGCTCATTTTTACTCGAACATGACCTCAGTTTGACCTCAATAACTCCTGACCTGAGGTGACCTGTGACTTGAAATTTTGTGTGAGGGTGTCAAATTGATGTCCGGTAAGGTACCCAAAATTTGGCGGCGCTGCGCGCCGCCGTTTTCTCGCTATTTAAGAAAAACCACAGGGGGGGCCAAAATGGCCCCCCCCATCAGGGCGCGGGTTAATCTTATGTGAGAGGTCCGTTAGACCTCTGGAGGCACGGCTCTGAAGTTAGCACATTCCATCCTGTCAGGTGTTCAGCTATGACACTATTGTATGAGCAGGTTTTTCACCTGCCTCATAAGACCAAATAATAAATTATTGCAATGCAAATGTTTACAGAATACTTCCTTTGCCATCCAGTTGCTGAGAAAAATACACATAAAGGCATAGAAACTTACTGTTCGCCAGCTACCGAACATTATGAAAGTGGGTAGCCCGAACAACACATGAGGTAAAACGCCCCATGGGGCTTTTTGCCCCGCGACCTACTGGGGCGTTTTACCCCATCACGTAGTTCGGTCAGAGAACAACGCTTTGCACTCCAGCAAGACATAATTTAACACGAACCAACCCGGCATGATAAGCGTTAGACAATAGTTGTTCAAAATGCATAAAAGTCGTTAACCTGATGTGGACCATAAAAGAACGCCATGATGCATAATCTGACAACAAAACATAAAAATCACTCAAAAAACACATTTTTGGCTATATCTCCCGAAAGAGTCATCACAATTTCTTTCCAGTCTGCTCATATAATGATCATATAGTGCACGTTTTATAGAAGAGAGGATGTTTCCCCAGAACTCTGCCAGTTCCGAGAAACATCGGTGAGGCGTTTTACCTCGGCGGGGCGACTTGCCCCGGTCTACCCTATGTATGATTGTCAGAAGTCGTGACATTTTCTATGTCGTAAAATGACTGTCAGATACTCGCAACTTCAAACGCCGCTAGCGTGCGTCCATTTCATACAAATGACAAAAATTATACATGACAATGATCCCCAAGGTCTGCTGCTTCTAATGCAGGGTCACAAATAGCCATATCTCATTTGGTTTGGCGTTGATCTAACTATTTGTCATCATGTTCCAATCGCAGATTTTTACTAAGAAATATTTGCTTTCGTTTCACCTAGAGCAGTTTACACAGTGTGTGCCCGTTAGTGCACCATGCCATAGCATTCCTACATGCCGGGGTATGTCTTAAGCACAGCACGAGCCGGGCAGTAAAACTATGACCAAGAAACTGTCGGTGTCAAAATGCCATGTTATTTGATAGGCCGGGCAGGAAACAAAAGTTTACTGCCCGAGTTTACTGCCCAGGGCAATGACCTCTAAACTACAGTTTATCGCATTAGCCCAGAGGTATAATTGATAGGGAATGTATAATTGACATCATTTTTGCATGATATTTGCCGCGTAAAATTACAAAACTAACATTTTTGGTAA